GTGTAGCGCAAGTAGAGTAGGGATGTTAGGGGACGAGAGCTGAGGAAGTGTTGTTCTAAGTCAGCCATAAAAATGTTGGCATATTGAGGGGCCATGCGAGTACCCATAGCAGTCCCACTGACTTGAAGATATAAATTGTCCCCAAATCTGAAATAGTTGAGGGTGAGGACAAAGTCACAAAGTTCAGCTACCAGGTTTGCCGTGATGGTATTGGGGATGCTATTTCTGATGGCTTGTAGTCCATCTTTGTGTGGAATGTTGGTGTAGAGAGCTTCTACATCCATTGTGGCTAGGATGATGTTTTCTGGAAGATCATCAAAGGGTTGTAGTTTCCTCAGGAAGTCAGTGGTGTCTAGAAGATAGCTGGGAGTGTTGATAGTGAAGGGTCTGAGGAGAGAGTCTACATAGCCAGATAATCCTGCTGTCAGGGTGCCAATGCCTGAGATGATGGGGCATCCAGGATTCCCAGGTTTATGGATTTTGGGTAGCAGGTAGAATACCCCTGGTCGGGGCTTGAGGGGTGTGTCAGTGTAGATCTGTTCCTGTGCTTCTTTAGGGAGTTTCTTGAGCAGATGGTGTAGATTCTTTTGGTAATCCTCAGTGGGGTCAGAGGGTAATGGCCTGTAGAATGTGGTGTCAGAGAGTTGTCTAGCAGCCTCTTGTTCATATTCCGACCTATTAATGATGACTACAGCTCCTCCTTTGTCAGCCTTTTTTATTATGATGTCAGAGTTGTTTCTGAGGCTGTGGATGGCGTTGTGTTCTGCACGGCTGAGGTTATGGGGCAAGTGATGCAGTCTATGTAGAAGTCCAGTCTGTTGTTTCGACCTTCAGGAGGAGTCCACGCAGAATCCTTCTTTTTGTAGCATTGGTAGGAAGCTTCCTGTATGTTAGTGTGCTGTTCAGTGGTGTGTTGGAAATATTCCTTGAGTTGGAGACGTTGAAAGTAGGATTCTAGGTCACCGCAGGACTGTATCATGTTTGTGGGGGTGGTGGGGCAGAAGGAGAGACCCCGAGATAGAACAGACTCTTCTGTCGGGCTAAGAGTATAGCTGGATAGATTAACAATATTGTTAATATTCTTCAACAAAAAAACTTCAAAAACAGACTCCAACGTGAAGTTGCAGAACTGGAATTAATTTGCAAACTAGATCAGCTCACTTTGGCGCGCGCGTGCGCCATGCAGTTTGCACAACAGAGACCTGTTTGGGGTAAAAATAAACAAAAAGGTTATTTAATAGAAAAATGCAGCACTTTAATTTGTAATGAAAGAGGTACCAGGGCTCAAGCAATTTTTTTACTTTCATAACTAATGTGGCAAGCCCAGAGGTACTAGGACTATGAACTGCCAAGCCCAGAGGTACTAGGGCTATGAACTGCCAAGCCCAGAGGTGCCGGGGCTCAGCCCTGGCAAGCCCCAGCACAAAGTAAGCACTGGAAAAATCATAGATTCAAAGATGAAATAGTAAGGAAGGGCAAACGCATACCAGTTACACAGCAAACAAACATAAACGTGCAATTCCAGGCTTTATGCTTCTATATTAGATAAATCTCCTTTTCTAATACAAGTTACTTATTGTCTCTGAACAGTTTTCCACAGTGCCCCTTAACCCTAGGTGGGATCCAGTGTTCACAGACAGCCCCTTGCCTTAGAGACAGTCCCTTGTTTCTGGATGTCTTTCACTTCAAACCCCTTCCCTTTTAACAGGGTTTGCAGAGTTTGTTTCTCTCTCTCATTCATTCATGGTGGGGGAGATTCCCGCTCGACTTGATAGTCAGGATGTCTGTGTCTTCCCATTAACTGCAATGGTCCATCATTTGTCCTTTCCTGGGTTGTATCATAGATAGTTACTTGCATCTGTTTTTTGGTAAACATCTGGATTGGAAGGAGCCCCTCCCTGCTGTGAGGTACAGTATTTGAAATTGAAGTACAGGTCATGAGCATAATACTCTATATAGATAAATGCATAGTCATAACCACAGTCTGTATACATATCTCATAATGATCATCAAGTTCAGAAGATCACAAGCTTTCATAAAAGACCTTACTCGATATTTTTATACACAACATTGTATACAACCACTTGGTCCAATTGCTTACTCTTTGGAGTTCAGACCCCCTGTCGGGATGTGTGGATCCTGACTGTCACAGTCAATTCCTCCATCCAAGTGTCTTAAATGGATCGTTATTCACATCTATTCATATATTATGGAGTTCTATAGCTAAGTCCCACATGTTTAACTCTTATGGAGAGTTTCATATCAAGTATTCATTTCAATAGTGCACTTCTTAACCACCTTAGCCATAACATATCAGTCCCTTTTTCTGAGACTTCTGAGCATAAGTGCAGTTTCAAAGCATGCGCTGCTAGTATAAAGATGGAAAAATGTGTGATCATTTTAAAAAATTATATAACAAAAATAAGGGGAGAACAGGAAAAAAAAACCCAAAATGTAAAGAAATGGGAATGGGGGGAAAGGAAAGGAGGGCAGGAAGGGGAAAGGAGAGCAATATCCCAGTTTCCATCCACTAGGAATTAATCAAAAGTTTTTAAAAAGTCCAACTAAAATCTCTTCAAATTTGTCTGAGGGCCCTCTTCTCCAAAACGTTACCCACTCTATAGCTGCCAGGTCAGCCAAGTTCCTGTGCCAAGTTTCTATCCCTGGAGGCAGTCTTCTTCTCTAAACAATGTGACTCATTTGGCTACAAGCACTGCTCTAGAGAACTAGTTTTTCTGCAAATTGAAGCGTTTCCAAGTTGATGGGAAATATCACAAAACACAGTTCTGTGGGGTAATTTTAAGGAGATAGCAATTATCATTTTAATCTCATCTACTTCTAGCCAAAAAGATTGTATCCTGGGACAGTTCCAAACATGTGAACCAGTGTGGTTCCACCAGCGCTCTGCTTTGGCAAGATCTATGAGGAGACCAGTGTGAACAAAGTATAATTTTCTGGTGGATCAGCTTTAATTATAGATCAGTAGTAGATTTTTTAATGTTTTGCAAGGCACTTCCCCATTGGCTAGGGCTCAAGGATATACACAAATCCTTGTTCAGGACCTGGCTCAGGCAATCTAA